TCGTATTTTCAGTATATACACCAAACTGTTGTGCCTCCTAATTGGCGTAACGTAATAACTGTGCAAGGTAAATTATTGGCTATCATCCTATCCTATTTACTTACTTTACGTTTATTAAATTATCAGGAAAACCATTTAAAAAAAAATGTGTTGACAGAAAGCCACGGCAAGCATATAGTGCAAAACAGTTAGACCGACTTGAGTACGAGTTTAAGCTTGATAAATACCTAAGCGTTAGCAAACGTATAGAGCTGTCTCAAAAATTATCGTTAACGGAGGTTCAAATAAAAACATGGTTTCAAAATCGTAGAACAAAGTGGAAGAAGCAGCTAACATCATGCCTAAAAACTTCACAAAGTCCAGGTTTATGCAATATTATAATTAATATCCCCAAAGATAGTACACTAGTACCTCATTCATCTTATGAACAAGCTAGTCGTATATATACTGCACATAAATTGTGTCTTATTCCAACTGAAATAAACTCCTACGGCAATGAAAAGAAATAAAATAATACACAAAATATGTATACTTATCAGAGACAAGAATTTCTTACCTTTCGATCGACAAAGGAGTGAAAAAGTGAAAGTGAGCGACCGCGTCGCAAGCAAATTGTACACGGGAAATGGTTTTCTTCGTTATGGCTATAATATAATCTGGTGGATTTGCTCATTCTCTATGATTCCGCGTTTTTAGTTTTCCATTTTTTTCAAAATTCTGTATGCCACAGATTTTTTCTTAGTGGGGGTGATAGCATTTTGGAAGTAAACTTGATTCAGTGTGGTATCACAGGAGTCTGCATTGGTTACTATAGCTCCTATAGTCGCTGAAAACTTGGCCACAAACTAGACGGACGGATAGACAGACATAGCTCAGACAGGTCAGTCGGAAATGCTTCCTTTTGGCTGTTAGATACATGTACCAACTGGCTGACTGTAGGCGCAGCGTTTGGCTACGGGGAACAGCAGCAAAAACACAACAATATCAACGGCAGAACAGAGAAGCACAGAATCAGCAGCAGAAGGAGAGCAACGGCAGAGAAGGAGCAACAGGAAAGGAGAAACTCGTTTGCAAAAGAGAAGTCTCAGAGTCAACAGCAAAAGCAGCAGCAACATAACGTATCAGGAGAGATCAATCCATAGATTAATCCTTAGTAGTTAGTATGATTATTCCTACAATTGTCCCGTTAGCCGCAATGTAATATATTATCAATAAAGGTTTAATTAAACAATATCTGACATATCACAGCAGAACTGGGATCTAGATCGGATACCACCCCACTCCCTAACAGCCCAGGGGTACTTTCTTTACTAACCTTTAACAATGCTTTTCATAATTTCTATGCTTACCCGAAATGTCTTACGACATGGGGACCAGCATCGTCACCTCATCGTTTAACCCTGAAGTAATGATATGGGTATATACAGTGGGTAGTGAAATGGGTACCCAGCTTGTAGGTTATCACTTTGCATTTCATTTCATATTTCAATTTTTATTTTATTTTATTTATTTATTATTTATTTCATTTTGGTTTTTTAATTTGCTTAATTTAGATATTGTTGTTCGCAGTAATACTATTTTTCAAGTAACTTTTTTTGTAATTTCAAACATATTTACGTGTAAATCTCTATTTGTGCTGTTTATATCCGTATCTATCCTAGACTCTCTCTCCAAAACGAAACCCTACTACAAACACCTGCACCGAAATTCCGTAACATTGCACACTTTCATCCTTGAAAGAAAGCACACTTTTTAACCTTGATTCCACACATTTTTTTTTTAATCATCGTAACTAAATTTTCTTTGATTGTTGTATAAGTTGCTGAAACAGTAACAGCAAACAACATAATTGTATTTTTGTTGTTTTTCTATCTGTGATAATATTTTATATTCAAATAATTAAAAACATTACATAATTACAAATTACACATAAAAAAAATAAAAATGCAAAATTTCATGAACTAGAAATTATGAATTGATCCCTCAATTGACGCACCAAATTCTCGGGATCTAGCCTAGAGTGACTATTTCTTGCTTTTAAACCAGAAGAACTGACTTAGCGGAAAGAGATTTCCAACGATGAATTATGATGTAATTTTTTCATTTTTTTTTGTTTTTGTATAGATACATTAATTATACATCGTTTAAGGTAACGTTTATCAGGTAAATCTATATTTATACTTTTCTTGGACCACTCAGTATCAATTCAACTTTGATTTTCGCTTCGACCAATTTAACCGATTTTTTTATCATTGGAAAATTGTTGTTTCTTTTTGGCAGGTTTCGCTGCCATTAAAGCCACCGCCCTTGACCAACGTTGAAGAGTTCGGGCCGAAATATCATGTGCAAAACGTTTCTGCACCTTAAATGCAATTTCAACAAGGTTTTATAACTGTTTTTAACCCAATTGCCAAGATTGGTACCACACAATATTAATTAATTACTGCTCCAAAAATAAAAATAAAATTAGCATCAATAATTTGTTGAAATTTTGAAAAAAGTAAAATAAAACGAGGGGGAACGTTGTGAGTTGCTGCGGACACCGCAACTCTACGGTTATACCCGATACTAAGTCAGTATGGCTCTCCTCCGGCAGACGCCGCTAATATTTAACGACACGACAAAGAGTGCGTGCGAGAGAGACAGAAAATCAGTCTGAGCGTGACGTCGGGCGCTGCGTAGCCACTGCAAATTGATTTGTTCCTTTTGGCTATAAAAATGATCTGATCTGATCCAGATTCAGCAATCTAATAGATATGGTCATTATCTATGATTCTGCGTTTTTAGTTTTCTCAAATCTGCAATATTGTGGATGCAACAGATTTTCGTCCTTTGTGGGGGCGGATGGGGGTGGGGCGAAATTCTGAGATATACGTTTTATAGTGACATCTTAAAGGAGTGTGTGCACCAAATTTGGTTACTCTAGCCTTAATAGTCTCTGAGATTTGTGGTTGCCTCAGATTTTCGTCCTTTGCGGGGGCGGAAGGGGGTGTGGCGAAATTTGAACAGGAAACGGTCAAGGTCCGATATCACAGGAGTGTGGATACCAAATTTGGTTGCTCTGGCTTTTATAGGTTCTGAGATCCTTGAACTCATATTTTGCAATTGGCAAAACCGACCATGAAACCTGTGTGTTAGAGTGAGACAGAGCGAGAAAGAGTGAAATTGTTTTCGTGATTCTGGCTGTAATAATTATACGATCTGGTTCAGATTTTGCACTCTAAAAGATATAGTCATCTTCTACGATTCTGCGTTTTTAGTTTTCTCGTATCGTCGAAATTGTGGATGCCACAGATTTTCGCTCTTTGTGGGGGCGGAAGTGGGCGGGGCAAAGTTTTGAAATATTTTTGGAGCAGTGACATATCACAGAAGTCTGGATCCAAAACATCGTTGCTCTAGCTCTTATAGTCTTTGAGCATTAGGCGCTGAAGGGGACGGACAGACGGACAGACGGACGGACGGACAGACAGACAGGGCTCAATCGACTCGGCTATTGATGCTGATCAAGAATATATATACTTTATAGGGTCGGAAACGATTCCTTCTGGACGTTACACACATCCACTTTTACCACAAATCTAATATACCCCAATACTCATTTTGAGTATCGGGTATAAAAATTGGAAAAACAAAAGTTTTAATTAATTGGTACGGCCAGGCTGGGCCTAACCTGCAACATTTTTCGGTCGTGAAAGTATCGCGTGCTTGAAACTAGCTATTAAGTTGCCGGTTGTCCCTCTGTGTAATGGATGAAGATATGGATGATGATGCCGACTCGGACATCAGTTCTTTCTACTCTCCTCCACGTATCCATGACCATCATTCTGTTAATGGTCTGATGCATACCCTAGTGCAAGGGTTTGGACCAGCAACCACTACCACTTCGACCGTCACGACAGCTATCACGTTAACCAAGCTAACCAAGCATCGAGGATAGCAATCGCACCTTCGTTGAAACCAATGCCTGAATCCAAGGCAACCGTTTTGCCACATTGAGTGAACAGGATCTCTCAACTGTTGCCCAGACTGCGGTGAGGGAGATGCTGAGGATTCAACATAACCCATCTGGTGATGATGTCCTGTCCATCGCAGCTGCGGCTCAAGACAATAACCATTCCTGCCGTTGCGAATAGCTTGAGCCCCCCGATCCCAGAGGACTACGAGTTCCGCACGGCAACCTCAGGGGACCTCCGTATTTACGCCAAGGATGCTGACACCCATAGAAAGATAATTAGAGTCCTAAATTCACTGCGTGTGCATTACACCCAATTCTGCCTTTCCGAGGACAGAAATTTTAGGGTAGTGGCAAGAAATCTTGCAGCATCTACACCCAAGGGACGTCGAGTGGTCAACCTGTAACCAACCCAAAGTCCAGGACGAGCCCTTCCATCAGCGCTGGTTTATTAACCAGCAACAAGGACCCCTAACAACAAGGAAGCTCTCAAGATCGCTAGGGTCGGCAGACAACGGGTGTAAATGGCGCTGCCTCCGTTTGAGCTTCTGTTGCTTTGAATTCGACCACACGAAGAACTATTGTCTAAAGCGACCAGTCCGTTGAAGATGCGCTGAGGACCACTGGACAGGTAGGCCATAATGTAACGCCATGACCGAGGACGACCTCACATGCTCAAACTGCAGCAGAAAGCATGAAGCTTAAAAATCGTCAATCTGCCGTGAACGTCTCTCAGCAAAACCACCAACTTTGTCCATCAACGCCCAAGGTTCTTATCCTGAACCGCAGATGGATACGAAGTCCATAGCTCAGGTTCTTATGAAATTGCAGAGGTCAGCAGCGTGCCTCACAACGGCAGTAGCAGGTATCCTGCAATCCCTCGACCAACTGCGTAACGCAGGTACAGCCCTACCCTCGCAAAGTCGGATTGGTTCAACGTTATCTTTGGTAATTACAATAGAGAACATTCATCTGATTTCCAACAAACTCTTGGTATACGACTGATCGTTTCCTTGGTTAATGGTAAATATTCATAAAACAAAATCAATAATCTTGACAGATAGAATGTCTGTTCTTCGTTTATTGTTTCAAATTACGTTTTAACGTTTAACCATAAACTTCACGCTGAGCTTTTTCCCAAGCAGCCATTGGACCGTGCTCGGGTCGGTATTTGACATTGCAACCATCGGGAGCGAGACGATTATCATCGCGGAGCTCTTCATAGCGCTCTCGGTCGTACTTGGTGAATCCCCACTTCTTTGAAACATAAATCTAAAAATAAACAAGTGACAAGCATAAGAATAATTTGATAATAGGAAGTTATTGCTTTAAGAAAATTCAGAAACTCAAATATATATTTTAATTCAATAAAAGCTTAAAAGTCCAAGCTAGTGTCAGAACGTATTGATTTTGTTGTCTGTGGCTGAAGAGTGCCGAAATACAACTCACCATGCGATGGCTAAAGTTGATTATTATGAAACGACAAAAAAGCCTTACATTTGGCCCCCTAAAACTATTTACCTCTTTATAGCCTTCGAAATATCGAGTGTAATAACTTTGAAATCATATTTCACCGCTCAGATTACGTTGAGAAAAAGTTTTTCTTAAACTTTCTATTAATGAGATCAGGACAGTTTAGATATAAATAATGCATTATCACTTCTTAAAAACTGAGGGATTGTTTGCATATAAACAGACACATGCATGGACGGACATAGCTTTCTTGTCTTGAAGCGAACAAACCAGTATTCCATATCTGTACTTTAATATAATGTAAAATTTAGTGTACTATAATTAGCTTTTTCAGTAGTTTGGAAAATTTGAACACTATTACCAAGTATTACTGATATCACATAACATACCTTCTGACGACCTGGGAACTTAAACTTGGCACGTCGCAATGCTTCAATAACTTGGGCCTTGTATCGATCACTTGAACGAACAGACATAATCGGTTGCCCAATACGCACACGAGCAACGGTACCCTGCGGTTTACCAAAAGCGCCTCTCATTCCGGTTTGGAGCCTGCAGAAAAAAATCAATAACAAATTTAACTTACAATTTAAAGATTTAAGTATTCCTATCAAATTTCATAGCCCAGTGCTATTCTATTGTATAAATGTAAGTCGAAAAAGACTATTACTTACCTATCGGCTCCAGCACACGACAACATTTTGTTGATACGAATAACGTGGAATGGGTGCAGACGCATTCGAATATGAAATTGATCCTTTCCACAGAACTTAACCAAGTATTTGTTGCAGCAAATACGTCCGGCTTCCAAGGCTTCGCTACTAAGTTGTTCATATTCATCAGATACCAAATGAACACAAAGAGGAAAGTCTTCAACCGTAGCTTTTTTCCTGCCCAAATCAAATATACGAATTTTCGGGTCTGGAACACCACGGCAAAACCGGGATTTGGGATACGGCTTATTTTTACAATAGCGGTAGCTTGAAAGTACAATTAAAAATAGTTATCCATATATACTTATGTATGAAGACTTCAATATTAGTACATACCATCTTGCTGGTCGACGACCCATGTTTAAACTGAAAATATACAAAATTAACAATGTTACAACTCAGATATATTTACTAGTTATAATCAATGAACGTATAATTTTCGAAAAATCAAATGCAAATAAAAAAATAACATATCGATTGACAAAGATATTTCAAGATGCATACCTCTTTCACGACGTCTAAACAAAAAAGGAAGACACATTAACCGCCGGAAATAGAGCAGGTAGATGTACCATTTAATAATTGTACTCTTATGTACAGAACATTACGATTTTGAAACGGTGGACTGGAACATTAAAAAATGTCTATCCAGTACCCACTATGAACAGATACATATCCTAAGAAGATATTTTTAGCTTATTCCTCCATCCTTTTGCAGGAGCGAAAAATATGTTAAAATTTCTCATCCAGTCGACCATCGGGCTGAGTTTTTTCTAAATCACACTTTTATATACGATGTATGTACGCTAAAACACCCAACTGAAATTTTTAAGGGCCTAAAAGGAGTAACGTTGTAGATCTACATTTTAATGCCGAGGTTCAACATTGAAAGTTAGTAAATTACTTTTTTTTCTTACACATTGAGACAATAGACGGAACAGAATCGATCAATGTTAAGCCAATGAGCAATTTGTGCATTTCTGTTCTGTTACTGTTTGTGAAAATATAGACCAAAACTTTGTAATTTAGTGTTCATCAGCTGCTTTTTGACGGATGGTGAATCGTGAATCGGGGTTTCACATCAGTGAAAAATCCCACCGTTCCACCAGAAGGTGCTTAGTGCTATTCACACTAACAACCATCCATTCGGGGGATGGTCCGTAAGGATTTGTCACCAAACATCTGGGATGTTCCTTGGCCGCAATTGCAATAAAAAATCGAACGCAACTGGACATATTTTAGAACATACTTCGAATTTAGCCCTTTAACACGTAAGAGTGCCTCGAGACACTTATATTATTATTCACATTAGCAAAAAAACTCAGAGCTTTTGCTCATTTTAATATTTTTTGGCTGTTACTAGGTTAGGTTAGGTTGAGGCGGCTGCCGGGCTCTCTGAGAGCACGTCACACTTAGACCGGTTTCAGCCCGTTGTGATACCGCATAGGATCATTCCTTCCCGCGTTGTGAGACTTCCTGTCAGCAATTATCCCATCCAGATGCTGTCTCAAAGTTCGATATCTTTCTGGGACATAGTTTGGACATCTCTGTAATGTCGTTTAGAAAGGCTGAGCCCAAGTGCTTTAGCCTTCTTCTGCTAAGAGCTGGGCAGGAGCAGAACAGGTGTTCCACTGTCTCCTCCTCTTCCTCGTCTCTATGGCTGCGACAAAAATCGTTATATGGGGGCCCCAGCCTGTTAGCGTGCCTTTTAGCCAGTGTCCCGTGAGGGAGCGTATGACTACGCTGCACCTTTTCCTGCTTAGCTTGCAGAGCTCGGAGGTGCGCTTCTTGTCCATGGTCGGCCCTGTTCGCCGAGTTACGCGACATCGTGGCACTATTTGCCACATATCGTTTCTTAGTCGCTTGTATTACTCTTTTGTAATAAGCTTACAGGTGGCCATTGGCATACAGATATCCTCCTTGTCTTGGAGAAGGGGGATTGTAGTGCCAAATCGGGCCTGCTCGTCCGCTATACAGTTGCCCTCGATGTCCCGGTGGCCCGGGACCCAAATCAGGTTAATAGCAAATTGCTGAGCCATCTCGTGGCCGAGTTCGAGGAAATCGCACTTAGCGATTTGATCGCAGCCTGGCTATCGCTATAAATGTTTAGCTTTGTAGCCGTAACGGCAACCGCTTGTAGGCAGTCCAGAGCCTCCCTGATCGCTATGACTTCCGCTTGAACTCTTGGAACTTGGTAGTCTGTTTTTGAGGGGACGGTATTGCTTGTATTTAATATGGTTGAGTGACCTATGCACTGAGTAACCCATTGAAATAAGTCTCTTGGACGTATTGTTGCTGCTTCTGCCCGTTCCTTTCCTGCGAAGTCAAGGCTCGGTGCGAAGAGCTCCGCTGATGCATAGGGCGGCAGTTCGCTGGACTTTGCCCAGTTGCTTGGTGATCGCCCTTTTTGATAGGGCCCGCCACCACACAGTAACTCCGTAGAGTAGTAATGGTCTAACTATAGCTTGGTATATCCATTGGACTATGCTTGGGAACATACCCCATCTTAGCCCAATAGCTTTTTTGCATGTGTAGAGTGCAGTCGTTGCCTTCTTCACTCTGTCTTTGACATTCAGGTTCCAGTTAAGCTTCTTGTCAATTATCAACCCTAAGTAACTGGCACTGTCGCTAAAGGAGAGCCTGCATCCATGTAGTATTAGTGGGTTGAGGGGCGGTACCTTGTATTTATTTGTGAATAATACGTGTTTTGTTTCTGAGGGATTTACTCCCAGGCCGCGCGATTCTGTCCATTCCGACAGTTGCGCTAGCTTTGCGGTTATTAAGTCGCACAGTGTTTGGGGGTATTTCCCTGAGAAGATAATCGCAACGTCGTCCGCATAGGCCACGACTTTAGAGCCCAGCCTTCCAGGTCACATATAATCTTGTTGACTGCTATATTCCACAGAAGAGGAGACAGGACATATCTTGACTGGGCGGACGATCCCATCGATGATGTCACCGTCCTGCATGTGAGCAATTGATCAATGAGCATCATTAAGTGACGGTTACTGACAAATACACCAATTACGAGAAGAAGCTTTGAAAGCTCTCAGAAGATTTTAACGGTACAGAACATGTCTTTTTTCCCGCGACAAATTTGACCTGCGGCATTTTGTGTTTTGTTCTACTTATAAAAGTAAACATATAAAACCAATCCAGTCCATTATTTTTTTCGTGAAAAGTTACTTTATTTACTATCAAAATCAAGTTGCAGACATGCAAGTTGTCGCACAAAAATAGTGATAAGTGTCTTGAGACACTTTTGGGGTTCCACGCTATATTTTGTTGCCAGTAGCTTTTTCTCAACTACTTGCAGTTGTTGTGTTTTTTTGTGTTAATTGTGTGATTTTTCTTAAAAGAAATTGAAATATTAGAATAAATGACAAAGCGGGTTCGTTACAAGTTGTCCGACTTGACCGTCGGATGAGGAAGTGTCAAATGTATCAAGTGACGACGAGGACGACGACCTTAATGTGGCAGAAGCTCTGACCACTGACCATTATGACACTGGGCGTTACGGCATGTACTCTTGAATGCTACTTGGGTGAGTGAGCTCTCGCTGTGTGGTTACTATATACTAGTTGTAAGGTTAAAGCAGATAAGAAGATGCAGGGAAGATTGAAAAGTCTTCCAGCTCCAGGAGTTGGACTAAGACAAGACTCACAGTAGATCATTGGAAAATTTCGATCATCATTTCATGTCGCTGGACGCATCGATTTTGCGTGAAATCGCCAGTCGTTCCCTCTCCTGCCTACTTGTTTTACGGTTACTGCGAGTTATTATTTCTTCCACCTCACCATACCAGCTCCGTGTCCACGCTATATGGAAAAATAATGAGTTTTGTGAAAACCCGAGCACCAATTTTTGCGTTTTCAAAAGTAAATCGGAAAATTTGTATGAAGCCGGAGCCTGCCTGATAATAAAGAAACATGCCAGTTTCCAGAAAATTGCTAAGGAACATGAAGTCTGAAGAAAAACACTGGTTAATTTGTAAAAGTAAGTTTACAGCTTACGCTAATTTGAATTTGATCAAGGAATTCAGCCCAATTGATATATTTCCACCATTCTGAATTTAGCAAAATGACGTAGCGCGCTTTTTGGACGTTTCACTTAAACTGACTATATAAACTAAAACCATTAAAACTGGCACAAAAAACACAAATAAACGAATAATCAGGCAGGCTCCGGTTTTTACTTACTTTTGCGGACTACGTTTTCAGCCAAAACGCATCGTTTTCGTTTTAGGTGCTCTCATTTCCACAAATTTTTGGAGTCGATATGTTTCATTTTCTCAGCGATTCGGTCAAACAAAAACAGCTGAACTGGTTGCTTCGAAAATATACAGCTTGATAAAATGACTTAATTTTTTCAATTGCTGTTTTTGAAGCAAAACGGAGGCAAAAAGTTCGCGTGTTAAGAAGATCTTAGATACAATACCTGTATATTTTACATGTCTGCCGAAGTGCGAATAACCGCAAATATATTTTAAATTAAATTGCTAATGGTCAACAAAACATTTGGTTTCCCCAACATTTAGAATTAAATGTGGCGGGAAACAGCTTTCCTTATACAGATGTTTTGTTACGCGCATGCTACGAGAACATTCGTGCAGTTATGCGCAAAAATTATTTCCAATTATTTCCGAGCCAAATTTGAGGTTGGGCTAAGATAAAAATATTTTTTTCATTTTGAAATTAAGATTTGTTTTGTTATACAAAAAGCTGTTTTTTTTTTCCATTTCCTCAAGGAAAATGTTTTCGTTTTGAAAACGGGTGCACCAACTTATATTTCTGTTTCTATAGAAACTAAGTAAACATGCATGACTAGTTTTGAAAAATTAATAAAAACATCGAAATTTTTAATTCATTGAATGCATTTAATTTTCATATTGAATTTAATAACATGTTAAAGATATTATTCCTCATAGTTTGGAGCAGCACTCTTTGTTTTTGAGTAGTCCCTCACAGGAGAATAAAACTGAAAAGAGATGATATGTTGTTTGAATCCATAATTATTTATATTATATTATGATTTCATGCATGTATGTATGTATATATGGATTTATGTTTTTTGTCCATATGTAAGTATGTAAATTTTTATGTACATCTACACATACATACGAAATGATCAGAATATAATGAAGTAACTGGTCGATCCGCTAACTGCATATTTGGAGTATATGTATGTACATATGTATACATATGTATGTAAGTATATTATGTAGCTGAGAAGGTACCTTATATTGTTTGTCTTTGTACTCTTGCCATGGTTCTGGGTTTGTTGAGCGATTCCATGTCACGTCTGGATTTCTGGTAGCTAAACGACCCATATAATAGACGGCACCAATGGCTCCTGCCGCAACACAG